TCGTACTTGACGGGGGTTTTCCTCAGGGTCTGTGAGGCTCAATGGAGGACTCACGAATGCGAGTAGGAGTTTCGACCGATGCTCTCGCTCAGACCTGAGGACCGACAAAGATGTTCATCCGTTGATCATTATTCATTATTTACTCGGAAATCAGCTGCGATCTCTCCGAGCTTTGCTTTCTTCACCTTGAACGCAAGACCGCATGTATCATTCAGGGGGCTCCGACTCGGTTTTCCCAATGCTTCCGGGGAGGTTCCCGCAAAGCCTTATTCATTCTCCCGGCTGGACCACGGAGCCAGAGTTGAACGCCTCAGGTATCAGCCTCGGAAGATTTCCTCCGAGGAACTCTCCTTGCGGAGAATGGTTTGCCGCTGCTGCTGAATATGCGCATACGAAAACGTCAACGGGAGCTCCTATACACAGAGTGTGCCGTAGTCAATGTTCTGATTACACTTCCGATAGGATTTCGTCGGTCCACAAGAATCAGGCCCATGACACTGTCAGGTTCAATTCGAAAACACCGACTTTCTCGCCTCGAACTAACGCCGATCCAGAGCAGCCGGAATTTTCTAAGAGGGCTCCCGTTAATTCATTCAAGGAGGTCGAATGGGCTCCTCGATGATTGGGGACTCAGATGAACCACAGCGAGATTTCGATGAGTTTCTGCTCTTCGCGAGAGCTGCGTTCCCCATTTCCGGCGTAGCTTATTTTTCGCTCAAAAATCTGCTCTGGGAGAGTCGTGCTGAGATTCGCAGCTTCTTCCCTCCCTGCCGACTTTCCGCATTCTAGAAGGCTTCAGGTACTCTGGGATATGCAATTACCATGGAGTATATTTCTTTGATGACGATGTTTTCCCTTCGATCGCATTCGGGACATCCCTCACCCCTTGGGTCAGTGGCATAAAACAGACTCTGAGAGCGAGAGATCCCGTCAGTCCCGTAAACCGAGGAGCGTGATACGGAATGGCTGCAGAGCAATGAGGGAAAGCATCAGGTCGTTCGAGTCGATACCGAGACCGATCCTGCCGCAGCAAACGCTTATCGGGAGACGATCGCCCAGCGAGCCTGAATCCCGCATCGGCCATTCCGGCAGAGAAGCTTCTCGAGGATATTTTTGTGGCTGATCCGAAGTTGCGTTCCAGAAGGACAATATTGCGATGCCTCGAGGACGGATGGAAGGAAACGGTTCCTTCCTTTTCTCCCGTGAGTGGCAGGAGTTTCCTCGGCACCGCTCACGTCAGGGAACGTTCGTCATCAAACATTTGAAGACAATGACAACACCGACAAGGACATGGGCGACACCTTGACGTTCTCGTTCCGTCCGATGGGCTCAGGCGGAAGCACCTGTACTTGCATCCATCCGCCCGTCCGTCGATTCATCAAAGAAGACTGAGGAAGCAGGAAATTCCTTTGTGAGACTTCCTCTATCTTCGTCGACATTCTCGTACAATGATCTCGTCTATTCCTGTCGAAATAGAAAGGGTCTAATCCGAGGAACGACTGAGATGTCAGAGAACAGGACGAGGAGCTAAAACGAGAGAGCCTCTCACAAAAGACAAAGAAGCCGGAAAAGAGGGCCGGAATCCCTCCAGGCGATTCACGTCTCTGTCTCCTCTAGAAGTATGCTTCGCTTCCCCGAGCCGTACGCGGGATTCGCCGACGATTTGCCGTTCCGGAAAAGTCGTAAGTTCCCCTCTGCTGCTGCGTTTCTTCTGCCTTGCCTAACGCTCCGGCTCTCGTTACAGTCAGGGCTCCCCGTGCCATTATCCGGGATTTAGATTACCGAACTCGCGAGAAAACACGCGAACGGGGAGACTTCTGAATCCCCCGTGGAAACTTCCCAAAATAACATGGAGAGTGTGCTCTTTCGTTCCTGCCTTCCGACTGGGTTCTGGCCGTTCATGAGAACCAGGTAAGCTCCGGCAATTCGCGCGGGAGAGCGTCGGCGTCGGTAGATCACGTATTTTCCAAGGCGTTTTGTGTTCATAAGGATAGAAATCGTAGAAACTGCGACCGGTGGGCGAGAACTGCGACAGCAGAGAGGAAACAGGAGGTAGAGGGGGAAAAAGAAAAATAGGCCGCCGTGGTTTCCGGAATTCCCGGTCCCATGCAACGGATGGTGTTGCCAACTGTTCAGAGCAACGAGTAGCTCCGGCATTGGCCGAAGCTTCGGTGGAACAGACCCTGAAGAACCTGGAATGCAGGCGGCGTGCGCTGTTGCCATAAAAGTCTTGGCTACCGCTTTTCTGCGGTATGGTATTCCTCATGGATCTCTCGCGCTTTCCACTGGTTTTATTCATGTTGAGACCAAAACTCTGTAGTGCCGGTGGAGGCAGAGACATTAGTGGTGGATGAATTGCGATACAAAAAAAAACGCTGCGGCGGTGGAAAGCAGCCCGGAGGATTTCTGCGAGGAGGTTAGTGGTCGTGGGAGAGCACTCCTAAGCATCCAATAAGCTGCTGAATCGACTGAACTAAAGGCTCTCGACTCATCAAGCGCTGTAGCCTCGGTGGCGGCGAAGGCGGCGGAAGACTCCTTCGACTGGACTAATGGATAAAACGCGAAGTCTGCCCAAGTTCCTGTGGCTCTTGGTGCATCTGTCTTCACAACTAACTCCTGCCACGCTCGAGTCACTGAGTCATTCCACCGAGAGGCTTCGAGTCAAGTACCTACCCTCTGAAATTACCGTCGGCGAGGCTTCTGTGAATTACTCTGAGCTGTGAAGAGAGCGCGCATGCATTTCAGAGCAGCTGCGTGATGAGGAAATTCTCCGGGATTGTCCGGGTTTCGTACTGTCGGACGCCTCGGATCTGGAGTCTCATCGCCTTTATGCTGGCCACGCCACGCCGGTCGCAATATCATGTAGTCAGACTCCAGTCATAAGTTGTCCATCGACACTATCGCTACCTCAATATGTACAACTCCTAGTGTCACTTGTCATTTCCGTGGTCTGGCCACATTGCTCCCGGGGACGGATGTGGAAGGCGAATTCAGGTATCTTCCCTAAGCCGCGATGTACTGAAGACTCCTCGAGCTTTCGAATCGAAGAGAACGAGAAAAATGAGAATCGGATTTCTCCATCATGACACGTCGTGTTTCTCCCCATGCCGAGACTTATGATGCGACGATGATACAGGTAGATCCAAGCCAGTCTGCCTGAGCACCCGACCAAGAGTCACCCCGGTTAATAATTCGCGCAAAAGAACGAGCAATATCGTAATGCTGACTAGAAGTTTGTTCGTTCGAAGCTCGACACGAAATCAGGAGGATTCAGCAGCGCTCAGCTCTTCCCGCAATAATTCTCGCCCCTGGGAACAAAAGTAAAACAAAAGAAACAACGGCTCATGTTTTCTCAGTTTCCACAACGATAGAGGGTTCGCCTCGGACGGCGGCGCAGTAATGGAATTTGAGATTAATTCGAGAGCTATCAGGGACAGAAGTCGCGGTCTTGCGACGTCTCGGTGCCGAAGAAGATAAACACGCCCTCTACTTATAAATATTAGATCCACGTTTGGAGGTCGGGAATAATCAAGGTCCAACGGTGGGCTCGTCCAACGTCCACAGAGTACGTCGACCGGCCGTGTGCCGAACAGCAAAAACAGGACCCCAGACTGGCTATTGACAGGACAAGATTGGGACTGGAATCGACAACTCGCCAACACGGTGTCAAGGGTCTGAGAGAGACCCGACTCAATACGAAACAATAACAAAAGGTCAGGCAATCAGTCTTCCTTTTCAACTGTTTCCGATTTTGTCGCAGGATTCCGGCGGCTCCCGGACCAAAGTTCAATCTCCCCGATGCGGGAAAAAACGACTGAGAGCCAACTTACCGAGCCCACGGCAAGAAACTCTGTTCAATCACTGGCCAGCTTGAGGAACCGATTCGGTGGAGGTTCGACTCCCGCTTCGCTGCTGCCAGTGAACTGACACTTCACCCTTCAAGCCAGGAAATCGCCATGGAGCTAGAGCGTCTCTCGCTAGTTTCCGTTCCCAGAGGAATCATCGGAGAGTGTTGATGCTCACACCCTTTGTTCAGATTCTATGCGCGAGCCGCCATGGCAGGCAAGTTCACGCTGTGGATTTCTCGCAGTCGAGCTGAACGGACTGTAAGCTCTGAACCTTCCGCAATCAAATTAAGGCAATGGGGCTCACGCAGGCTCTCACCGAATCCGATCGAATCATCGATCGTTCAAGAATGCGTCAAATCATCCGTCAAGAAGCAGGAATAAATAAGAACTCTGATCGGGAAATGTGGCCCACACACGCCCGAAGATTGCCTGTTATCAGAAGTTAATCATAGAGAGAATTGCGAGGCAATGTGGTAGCAAATAAGCAGGCGAGAGTGTCGCCCGTAATGTCGATCGCCCTTGTTCCCCAAGCCCGCACTGTCCGCGCACCCCCTCCCTCTCCGGTTGTAGATCCTGTCCATTACGTATCTGTCCCTGAGGCGAGAGGCTTGGCGAGACTGAGGTCCATCATCGGCTTTTCGGTCACAGGTGGCTCGCCGCTTGATGCATGGTGGCTCCTCGACGAGAAATAGAGAAATTATCTAAAATTTGAGGGAGACGTTCCGAAAGCTCGAATAAACGAAGGAAGGTTCCTGAAGCGGAAATACTCTGTATACATAGGTACGTCCGACGCGGCGTCAATGTGTTGCGTCGACTTCGTGACCCCTGAATTCGCGTAGGGTGCTTCTCTCGCCCCTTGACCATAATCATTTCCGCACGGCATCGTCATTCCTCGTTCTCGATAAGCATCCTGATGTCCTGTATAGGCATCGTACGTTGCCATTTAAACGTACCATTCCCCCATCAAACCCTCTCCTCAAGCGAGCGCAGCGCCCTCCTTGCCACGGTCCGCACTCGAATAAAAGTACGGCGAGGAGTGTTCCGGCGCCACTCCAAGGATTCCTGACTCTCTGAGAATCAAGAATAGAAAGAAGAAGACAAGTTCTTAGACCTCCCGTCTCGTGAACAGCTTTTCCATAGACCGCTGGAAAAATGTTGTGCGCCCCGACGTTGAGTTCTCCCCTCACTGGGGGAGAACAGTTGCGTTTCAAAGGCCGCAAGAAAGGACAGAGCCTTCTCGGGACGGCGATCGTGGTCCAGTTCGGGAAATTCTTTCCCGCCAAGTGGGCTCAGGCAGCTACAGCAACTGTCGACGAGGAGATGGTAAGTTCACTCTTTGCCTTTTCCTTAGAGCAAATTTCCTCGTGGGCGCTCGAACCCGCTCTGACGAAAAATCAGAACCTCTCCGAAATTAGCGCTCTCGCGATACGCTGCACAACGAACAAAGAATTCTTGTCCGGCATTCCGATCTGAGAAAAATTCCGATATTCGCTCTTAATGCGGAGAACGATCCAGCCTGTCAGTATGATGTTCATCGGAACGCAACGCAATCGCTTTGAATATTCACATGCTTGCGGAAAAAACAGAGAGAACTTTGTTTGGTTATCGATCGACTGAATCCAGGCGTCATGCGGACATTCTTGGACGACGATGACGACGTCATCGCTCTCATCATCAACGTTCATGGAAGTGGAGTGCGTGCGACTCCGAATCGATGCGGCGGGCAATCAAAAATTCCGGATACGGGAGACTCCCTGTGCGGCTTACGGATACCATGGGAGGACATCCGTCAATCCGGAGTCCAATCATGCGTCCCGAATGCACGAAGGACGCGCTCGGAAAAAAGAGGAAACGAACTCGTTTCATCCAACGAATGGGTTATATTAGAATTCACGTCTGGGACGGCCACCCAGACTCTCGCGGTCGTCCACGACGTCGTCGACGACCACGGCCACGACGAATATCCAATGCAGTCCGATCGGTCTTTGTGTACTATATTCTCGGCGGGCGGTCTCCGACGCTTGGCCACTCTCTGTTCTCGTTTCACGTTGAGACAGCGGCAAGTCGGCCTTGACACGACCGCAATTTCTATTGTGTGCCCCTCCTCATTCCGTCGCTGTTCTTTCGCGTCTGACGGTCCCATCTGGTTCCGCGTTCCGCTCACCGACTCGAAGTTGCTCTAATTGCCCTTTGCTTCCCGGTGACCCACAGCCCGATCTTCTCGGCTCGATGGGTTCACGATACCTACCGCTGAGAGAAGAGACTCCTTTGGCAATGTTCTTTTCCTGGCTCTGGGGGTGCCTTCGTGTCTATGGAGCACCCTCGTTCTCCTCGTTGAGACGACAGCCGCTATAAAGAAGACCGGGTACTTGCATCGTGTTCTTATCGAGAGCTCTAATCTTCCACGGAGCTTTCCAATTATCTAGAATAGCTCATTCGCTCGGAGGGGGGGCCGGGATCGATATCGTCGGTCGATGCGCCCGTTTGGATGTAATTTGCATGCGACAGCGTGAACCGCCTGTGCTGCGGACGGCGAAGCCCCTTCGTAGGGCTTTATGCACAGATGGCTGTCTGGCATTCTCTGGGCGAGGAAGAATGCTCGTGCAGCTGATCGGATTCCTGGTTGTTCTTAGGTGTGATGGCATACGAGCAGCCTCGTCTGCATTTTGTGTCTAAATGGACCCGGCTTGGACTCCGGGTACGCCGACGGGCTCCTTGGCGAGGAATAAGCAGCGCCTAGCCAAGCATGGCCTTCGGCTAAACGGCGAATGATCGCTCAGTCCCTGAGCGGCTATTCCCGAATACGGCACGGGCTAGGGCTTTCCTCACAGTTGGAAGCGCCTTCGTGGGAAATCTGCGCCCACCGAAAGCTGGATGAAGAAACGTGTCATGTTCGTTGGCTCGAATAATTGACGGCGTACATCTATGATTATCCGGTCAAGTGGTGTGCGACCGGATAAATGTCTATTTGAGCAGTTACGTATCGATGATCAGCGCTGGCGGAAATAGATCGCTCGCTAATGGATTCAAGTCCTCAATCGAACTCCCGGAACGAACTCGTCGAGGTTTCGCGGGGAGGCCGAGCCAAGATGAATCGACCCCCGCCGAGTTGGCCTCATTAGGGCTCTCGACTGTCGCCTCTGGAAGATTGTGGACACCGAACAGCCTTCCATTAGGGCAGGGCCGCATCTCTTCATTTGAATGCAGGCGCCCCCTGCGACGGCTCTCGCTTCCTCCACTGCCGACATGCGACAACAAGTCGCAGAGTCGACCGAGCAAGTGCGGGAGCTCATTTCCCACAATGGCAAGGGATACGTTTCCCAGTCGGATTGTTTAACCCGTTTTTAGGGCACGGGAAAGAGAACGAAAAACTTTTTCTATTGTGCCTTGTTCCCCGGGGCACGACACAACACTCAGCCGTTTTTACAACGGCAGCTCCGGCGAAACGTCATATCTCACAGAGCGGACCATTCGGAGCAATCTGGACGTAATCTGCTAGACTAACGGGGAAAGCATCGAGCAGCTCTTCCGCAGAGGGGAAGCAGAACGAATTGTCAATCCGCAACTCGCTTTGATTCAACGCCCCTTTGAATCGTTTTCCCCGCGGCTGCGAGCTGAGAGGGAAGAACTCTTCCCGGACGAGGGAGTATTTGTCTCATCACTTTGAGGTTCTTTGTCCAGAAACGGCTCCCAGAGGAAACTCTCCGGAGCACGACCGGCGGTTCTCTGTGACTCTGCCCCGAGGACAAGTTGGGCAGCTCAACAATTATTATTATTATTATGTTATAAAGTCCGACGGGAAAAGAGGGATATATGTCGCGGAGAGAGAGAGAGGGAGCGATCATAATTTCCCACCAATTTTTGCGAGAGTGTACAGGACGACGCAGCGAGCCGCTACGACCGCGACGACGGAGGTGCCTGTTCCGGTTGGCCGGTCACATCCCAGAGATCTCGGAGTTTACGTCGTCTATCACGGAACTTGGCCTGGCCAAACTAGATACAGTGCTGGTGTGGCCACTGGTGGTGTCGGTTCACTCTACGCTTCTGCGCGGACTATCCTTGTTGCGCGAGACTGTTCGTGTTGCGCGAGGGACGCGGCTCTCAGAGCGAATCGTCTGTCTGCCTCATCAGTGGCCTAATTTGACGATGACCGCGGCTCAGTTGTTTGCTGCAACTCTGTTTAGATTGTGGCATTCATGCTCCAAGTGAACTTTTCCTGACTTCACAATTACTAATGACAATGACTAATGATTCCCGACGAGTAGCCGGAGCTCGACCATGACTCCCCGTTTTCGGAGTGCAACAAAAGAGGGTGAAAAGAGTTTAGAGAAGAAAATGGATCGGCGCGGCTCGGCACTGCGATTCGGGGCACGGGGCTCCCGCTGAAGACCGCTTCCGCAGGAATTCAGTTTGAAAGCTTGTAGAAAGGACGAGAGTCACGCTCGCCGAAACGGATGCTGCACGGGTGATCCATTCTTCCGGAACCGGGGAAAGCTACAGAGGAGACAGGCGGCGTCGTGAGTAGTGGATCTCTGGAGAATCCATAGAGTTGGAAATATTCTGTCGAAACTCTCTGTCGGACCCACGATCGAGCCATGAATATCCGAGGAATTACCATTCCAATATGGAGCGGCTCTGGCTCACGAGAGATAATCCAGATTACCTACGAACAGTTTCCAGAGCGGTTATGAAGCAGCTGAATAACCCCACTAAATTGCACGGCTCGCCGGCTCGTCGGCTGAACGGTCAGCCGGCCGACCGGTCACCGGTTCGTGCGTTTCCCCTAATCCTGGACAGCAACACAAAATAACTGTAGACGTGACCTTGCTCGTCCTTGACCCGGTTTTCCCTTCGCTCGAGATCGTCTCGAATTCTCAGAGTTTCGTGTTCAGCACGACGACGATATCCTTCCATGCTCCTCTCAGATTCATCTCGAGGAAGCCCGACGTGCAGGCCATGGACTTTTCCTAGACCGGGAGCGCATCTAAAGCCTGGATCGATTCCTTCCTCCTCTATTCGAGGCTTTTCCGAGCGAGGGAGTATGCCATTCGGAAATCAGAGCTGATCCAGCCCGAGTCGTTGCCCGGAACGGATTTTTCCAATGCGAGGGCTGTTCCCCCGGCCACTGCAATGCACTGTCGGGTTGACTCGTTTTCCCTCTCAGGAGAAGAATTCCTCGCTCGCAGGGATCCACGGTCGCCGTTTCAGATATCGCAGGCTTATGGGCCGCATTGTCTACGGAGCGACGGGAATAATTCGTAACAGGTCGAGTTAAGCGCCGACCGCGATAGCTGCGCGAATGTACGTTGCCTGATAAGAAATGTCAGGATAACGCACTGTGTTGCACCGGTGTTGCACTGTGATCGTGTCGGTTGCGCTCGCCGAAAGAGACGATTTTTCAACAGGCTGGGGACGGTCCCTTATCGCTGTTTACAAGAAGCGTTGTCTTGTTTCTTTTCAGACGATCACTTACAGTGACTTGGTGCACTCCGTAGTGGCGCTCCTCCACGACAACTATCTTCCTCACCTCGCTCCTCATCAAATATTCCAACAGCTCTGCCACGAGGGAACTCGAACCCTGGTTGTCCTACGCGATCCTGAAGGTAGGCAGGCTGATCTTGATTTCGTCCCCTGACTCGTCTGATCCCGAATACATATTCCCTGAAGATATTCGCCGCCATCCCCGAAAGCTCGGTCTGCTAGCAGGAGGAAGGATCGACGGGGAAGGAGATTCACCAAAGAACGGAAAATCGTAGATACGCGAGGAGAAGACCTCCCGAATACACATGAGGGAGCTGGGCGGATCTCCAGCCAGATCGGCAACGAAGTCAGGCTGTGATGTCGCTGATCAATATCGCTCATCCGATTACTATAAATCCAATTCCAGAGACACAGCGTGACCTTCTGAACTCAAAATCCTCTCCAGCGCGACTGGAGTTCAACAACAACACCGAAACGATGATGATGAGCCGCTTCGGGGGCAGCGCGAAGCCCTGGCAAAAAATCGTCCCATCGTTGTCTGGAGGGAGCGACGGTAACGGACTCAGCGTCGCAAGTGTCTCCTCGCCTGAAGACGAGATTGAACCAGACCGGGTCGTCGGCGGCGGCGGCGTCGGCGTAGAACAGCAGCCCGGATCGGCGGCCGCGACGTCTGATGCCACTCAGAGCCCTCTCGACAACCGTCAGTGGGTCTCTTGGGCCTCGATGTGAGTCGCTTTTCCTTCTCTCGGTGTCCTCGATGCTTTTGTCTGTCTTTGAGTAATGAAACGGAAAGTGGCACCTCCGCTTTTACTATCCGTCGAATGATGCTCGGCGGAGCCGATGAGATGCTTCTTGAGCCCTTCTCGTCTACTTCGTCACTCCGAGCGACCGAGGGGAAGAACAAACAGGGAGAAAAGGTGCGAAGAAGAGAACGGCGGCGCGAATACATATGAGATCGGATCTGACTCCCTCAGGAGTTCAGACGGGCGAAGCTCTTCGAGCTTGTTGAGCTGACGGCCAGATATTGACTCGTTGGCAGTTACGCGAGAGTTAGCGCGCCAGAGAGAACGACGGATAGGTGCGCGGGAAAGAAAAAAAAGCCGATCCCACGGCAGGGAGGGGTCGGTGGGGGAAATCTCATTATATTTCGCCGATGCTGGAAAGGTGCGATCGCGTTCCGAGCGTCCACCGTCAGATTTATTGGAGCGGTGCCGGTGCCGCTTAGGATGGGCGACCATATCGAGCATGCTGCCATGTCGAGGGTTCCATTGCAAACTGTGATGAGTTTGATTTTCCCCATTTCAGGAACCGTCGGAATAAGGAGGAGATCTTGAACGAATGCGGGAGCATTTGTTCCGACCATTTGTACTCGGATGTTTGCTGTGATGACTCCTCGGACGATGACGATGAAAGGTACCGTCATAGGCTACTTTGCGGCTCGTCGGAGAGCGGGGCTGGCTGAATCGATCAGACGTGCGCGCTTTTCATTCTCACTTACCAAGACGGATGAATGAACGACTTGCATGATCTGGGATGATGGATAGAACCTATCACGATCTCTGGCCCGGGGTGCTGTCCTCTGGTTCAGGGACAGCGGAATCTTCGGGGATCCTCGCGTAGCTGCCTAACCTTCAGCAGCTGGCGGATTTCTCACGGGTGCGCGAACCCCGACGAGGGGAACGACGAGCTGCCGCCGCTGCCACCCCTGCACCGCAATTCCGAGTGGGCTGCAGAGAAGGCAGCACAGCAACGCTAAGTCGACGGAGGAATGAATCATGGCGAGTGTTAGCACAATTCGTTTCCGCGCCCTCGACCGGGGTTAACTTTACGACTCGGGCGCATGCCGCGCTTTTTTAGTTTCTCGGTGAAAGCCTCGGGTGGTTCAAACGAGGGCTGCCACCTCGAATAATTGAGCCAAGGCGGTACGCGAAATGTGTCTCTAATTGATTGCCCCGGAGGCTAATTCGTGATAGCGTTGACGATGCCGAGATGAGGGGAGCCGTGGGAACGCTTTGCCTCCCTCAGTTCCTGTCCCAATCGTCATACAGCCCGTCCGCTCTGAACTTTCCTGTGGGTTCCTCGTAGCTACGATGATGTCCTGTCTGCAGGGGATGAGGTTCGCTGAGCCTCCATCAGGACCAGCCAAGTAGAGCTCATACGGAACGAATACGAGTCAAGCTCTTTTTTGGGAATTAGTTCGTCAGCTTTGCTTACTCGATTTGTTCTGAAAAGTTCCAGAATGCCCACACATACTGTTCTGTTCCAGCATCGCTGACGACGAAGATGAGATGAACGACTGCGGCCAGATGTTCACGAAGAGTCTCGAGGCATATCTCAAAGCAGTGCAGCACAGGAAGCGAGAGCGCCAGGTCGGTGTGGAATCCCGACTCGTCGCGTGCGCGTCCTTCAGTAAAGATTACAGGTGAGACAAACCGTCAACGGAGATCTTCCATCAGGAGGCCTTTGGAGGAAATCCATAGAAAGAAAAAAGAAAAAAATGAACCAGTTCGGATCTGCTCGGCTTGTTCCTTGCCCACCCTCCTCGGCAACGTACTCCAGCTTTCTTCGGGCGGCGAATATTCTCATGTTAGTATTCTCGTTCGCGATGTCGGACCACCGGTTGATTTCATGCAAATTTCAGGCCGTCGGGCGCGAAAGTGGTGGTGCTCCTCAACGTCGTGGTGAGGAAAAAGTTCCGTCGATACGGCATCGGCAGTTTCATGGTCAAGGTACGTGCCTCGCGGAAACGAGGGAATATGTCGCCCGGTTCTCGACAGCACCGCGAGATGACCCGTGAGCTCGCCGCCCGCGAAACATCAAGTGCGCGTACCGCCGAGCTCATTGGGTGTCGGCGGAGCGCTCATTGCGCCCAGGAGGATGTAAATGTGTTCTCTCATTCCTTCGCAGAGAATAAAAAGTCCTTCGCTCGTCGGCCCGTACGACGCCGTGACAATGCACATCCGCTGCGGGGAGCAATGTACCGAATCCGCCGGCGCCGCCAAACCTGTTCATAATCAGCACAGCAGTTGCGTTTCATCTAGGAAGCAGAAGGTGTTTTTCGAGAAGAATTCCTTCACTTCGGACCTCATCCTGAACAGTCGATTCCACGAAGAGGACGGCAGCAACGTGACGACGGGCGAAGTGCTCATGTGTTTTCTGCCTCCCTTCGATAGCGGACCTTTCCACAACCAGAGCTCCAACATCAACTGCACATCGACGCAAGGCTACGGACAGCAGCCGACCGGCGCGCAGATGGCGCAGCACAATTCCATCAAAGCTATGCAGGAAGAGGCTCAGAGATGGTGAGTGGAACAGCCGCGGCAACAACGTTACGTTCTGTGGCGTTTGCGAGCGTAATCCGAGAGATCCATGCATCACATCGGTGCTATCATGAGCTCTCGCGGAGAGGTAGGCGAAGCCTCGCTCAGAGTGAATAGCCCAGACAAGCTGTCGGAATGTTTTCTCGTTCGGAGCTACATTTTCCCTTTCGTTGGCCTCATGGAACTGTGAGGACGGTTCGTTCGGTCATGCCGTCGCGTATCTCCCGCGAAGAGTCGAGCTCGAGCCCTAAATCCCGGTCCGAATTCCAGGAAAGAAAAAAGTCTGGAGGCTTATCAGCTGCAGATGTCCTACATGGCGCGCCTGCAGCAAGAAGTCCTACGACTACATGAACAGGTAAATGATTGTCTCCGTGTTCGGATTTCACAAGCCTCTCCCCTGTAATCGGAAAGTTTCGCTGACGGATTGCAAAACTGTGTTTCATTCAGCTTCCCGACCGGGGTCATTCCGCACCTCTGCTCATTTCTCTTAGTCTGAAGTTTCTTCCCTGTTCTTTCGTTAATATTCTGCACGATCACGTACAGACATCCGCCTTCCTGTACCTCTCGAAAGTTCCGGGTCTTGATGCTCTGGAGGTTCATGGTTGGTTGCACGGAAAGTGCACCTTTGTTTAGACCTATCAGTCTTCTTGATGACACAGCGGCGAATTCTGCTGAACGACCGAGGCTCATGCTCGACGCGGGAGGGCACGTATGACTGACTGAGATGTTGGCTTCTATTTTCACAGTTGAATAAGCAAGAGCTCACCATCGACCAATTGCGGAAGGAGAACAGCCGGCTACAGACGCGACTTGTCAGAGCAGAGAAGAAAACCGCGAAGGCCCTCATCGAAACACTGGATAAGGAAGCAGCGGATTTCGAGCGGATGTGTGTCTCTCGCAAATTGAGCTCCGATGTGCCCTTCAACACACAGAATCCACTGACCACTCGCGCAGTTATACGGAGTTAGGGGATATCAGGCGATCTTTAGGGGAAGCAGAACGAGGGGGGAGGGGAGGGTTGCTGGAAAATAATGATCGAAGGAGAAATTACGGAGCCCGCTTCAGTCCCAGCTCATGGTTACAGCCCACCTATCCCAATCCATCGGACGAAGCTATTCCCCCGGCACCTGACGGAATTAATTTATTGAAAACGTGTAGCGAATCCCGTGCCCGAAGAAAGCCATGGCCGACCCCTCAGAGTGGAGTACGAGGGGACTTTGTTTAAATACGAGCAAATCGTATCCTTCAACATCGGAACCACAGTGAAGGGAGAGGAATAAAAATATTCAGATGAAGGTTTCAGTGGGAGTCTCCTCGGGTGTGGGGCTGCCGTCGGCGTCGTCGTTACCAAGACGAGGTTCTTCGTGAGAAACGAGACTATCGCCTCGATATCCCGGTTCTTTTTCCCTGTACAAACATGTTTGACAGCATCGACAAAGTGTTTCCTGTTCCGTTGAAGCCAAAGTGTTGAATAAAATTCCAAGTGGAAATTACATCCACGACCGTACGCGTTTTTTCGCTTCGCAGAACTTCCCAGGGAGGGTCGGAATCCGGCCGCGGCGTGAACGAAGGGTCTTTTCTCAAGAGAGAGAATGTCTTCCCTCCGGCTTCGATGTATCTACATGTCGAGGCATGAATACGAAATGAGAGCGCTTTGAAGGCTCTCCACGCGGGAAGCATTTAGCGATTCCATCGATTCCCTCCGATGGATCACGAAGCCGCAGACACGCAAGGATAGCTCTCTTCTCTTCGTTGGGACGACCGAAAAATTTCCGAAAAGCGGGAGCACCAGCCGAGACCGCAAATATTCTGATGGAAGACTGGATCTTCGTTCAGTTTCGAATAACGACAGAGAAGTCCCTCGGCTATCGCGCTTTCCGATCCTCGGAATCACTTCATCGAGCTCGTATTTTCCTCACCAACTTAATTTGGTCGTGTATGTGTCACGAGAAAATTCTCGCTAAATTGAAAGCACTACAAAGGAATGCACTGAAACCGCCGTTCGATATACATATATTAGGCGCTCATCCGCTGGGAACCACCACGGGTGCGCATCACATCACTGTGTGTCTCTGCAGGATATCATGGCTGCCGGATAAGCGCGGGAAATCGGTGTCTTCTAGGGAACATCGATGGATTCCCTTTGAGCCGTTGACGGTTCCAAAGCTCCCACCTGAGCGGCTGCTTTCGGTTCTCGATGCTTCCGAGCTCAGCTTCGCCGCCTGAGATTCGGACTCCTTCCGTCCGGAAAGGAATATTCTTGGGCGGGAGCTCGGAGACCGACGTTCACATCTGTCCCCCGAGGAGAGATAACGGAATGAATGGAGAGGCGGTGGAGCTAGTTTCCGAAACCACGGCGCTGATACCTTATTCAGAGTTGCGGAAATCTGCGACAGCTTTCTCCTTGTTCTATCTCTGCGGAGAGACGAAGAATACGGAATTGTGACACTTCGAGGCTGCTGACTTAGGGCTCCCCTGGAATGCGGCGAAATTGGAAAAGAGATGGGTCCTATAATTGTTTGCCACCGGGCGTAAGAGAGGCGACGACCAGGGAAACAGCTTCGGCAGGGGGCTACCCCACCAGGGGCTGATTATCCAAGTGATGCTCGTGATCAATGTTGAGATTAGGCTGAGCCGTAGGTTTACGTGCGAAAGACTCGTAGGCTAGGCTCGCTGAACCCGACGCACAGTGGTCCCAAAATGGCTAAAAATGGAAAAAACTAATAACTTTCGGACGGGTGAATGGGATTTCCTGAAACTTGATTTCCCCCCTCGTATACGCATTTTAGAGACATTTGAACCATTCCTACTACAGCGGTTTTTTTCCACGGAAAAAAAAACGATACCGCGATAAATCCCAGATCCGGAAGTAACCTCTGAAATAACTGGCATCGATGCCGATCTGCTGCGACGTTTCAGCGTGATACTCGATGCCATGAACTGTGAGCTCCCGCTCGACAGCGCGAAATTCGGCTCGTTTTGCTCGGAAACTGCACGCTCATCCGTGGAACTGTACGGTTGGTACTACATGCCAAATACAGTTCACAAGCTGTTGATGCACGGGAAAGTGATAGTCGAGGAGGCGCTTCTGCCAATCGGAACGCTTTGTGAGGAAGCGCAAGAGGCGAGCAATAAGACTCACAAAGAGTTTCGACTGCGTCACTCCAGGAAGGTCAAGCGGGTAGCAACCAATCTCGATGTAATGCACATGTTGTTGGCCACCTCTGATGGACCTTTGATGGACTCAATTCGAGTTGAGCCCAAAAGACAAAGTTAAGATCTGAATAAAGAAGTCTCGGCGTTACTCGCCATTGACTAGTCGAAACAAGTCAAGACGAGTTCCTAAAACAGAATGGAGCTCCTTACTAGCCCCGAGTTTTTGGTGATTTTCACTGCACACCGCTCACGCCCAGTCGTCTCACAAAACCAGAAAGGCAGCTCGAGGCAGCTGAAACTTTCATTTTTGTTTCGTCCGGAGCCTGATAATTCAGCAAAAGGCTATGTAGCACTGTCGCAAGCTGTCGCAAAAAAAAATCGAAAATTCCTCGAATCTCTATGGGGCTTCAACATGGGATTTATCGAGGTATCGTTTTTTTTCCGTGAAAAAAAACGCTGCAGTAGGAAGGGTTTAAATGTCTCGAGAATGCGTATACGATGGTAAAAATCAAGTTTCAGGAAATTCCATTCACCCGTCCGAAAGTTATTCGTTTTTTCCACTCCGGGACCACTGTGCGACGGATCCACAGTGGACCCACCTGGCTAGGTCCGGCCGATCGATGAGGATCTCGTAGAGGCGGACCCCGGTGTCCGACATCTGTTCTGCAATTGACACGCTCGTCAAGGACGCGTTCCGGCCTTTCTTGTCATTGGACCTAAAAATTGCCGCTTTATCTCCTTCGTCGCTGTTGAGATTTGCGCATGCTTCAGACGCCTCTGAAAAATCGATTCCAATCTCGGTGTTACCAATCCCGGGCTCCCTCGAGATGAGACGGATCGATTCAGCCACCGAAGCCTCAGGTCCAGTGTGATCGGAATCCAGGGATCGTCGACTTGGATCGATTTCCTCTTGAAAAGCCCGGGTTCTGCTGGAAATATCGCTCAGCGATTCCTCCGAGAATCGATCGGCCTCAAGCGTCTCGAATGCCGAATTCATCGAATTCGAACGTTTCCTCGATGATAGGCCGGGGCCGCTTCTGCCGCGGCAGAGCACCGCGCGCTGTGGAAAGAACGGCTCAAATGACTAGACGGAAAATTGAAAATCGAGGTCCGCTTTCCGAGAATGCACTCTTCCCTTGTTGCAAAAGCCTCGGTCGAAATTTCCTTCATTATACGCGATGAAGTGAACCTGTGCGAATCGCGTACTACCTTGTCGAAGTTGGAGCGAGGGGCTATCTTCCCCAGCGAAGTTTCGGCTTCCCCGCTGTACATTGCGAGCGAAAGAGAAAAAAAAGGCTGCTCTGCAAGCCATTCGTTCCAGTTTCTGAATACGTACCAAACTCTCCGGACGAATGCGTAAAAACAGCTTCCGGAGCAGAGATCCAAAAACCCAGATCATTAGGCTTCTGAGAGTTTGCTTGACCGGATCTTGTTTTTGCTCGGAACTTCTCTTGCGTTTGATTGCCGTTCTCGCCAGACTTTGCCAGGCGAACGCGCAGGCCATATGTTTTCTCTCCGGCTGGCGAGTCTGAGCGATTCCGTACCGAGCTCCGAAGTATTTCCCCGTGTCTCGCTCCAATTTTTCTCCGTGATGAAATAGGGACAATGATCACCAGCCCGAACTGCGCAGGTAGGAAATTGCGTACACGCACCGCTTCCGATCGAAAACCGCACGGTGGTGCCGGTGCTTGAGGCGATCCGGACAGATACTTGCGATTCAAGGATGCCTGATCGTATGGAATCCGCCGGACTCCGAGAGAGATCGTTGCGCATGGAGTTCGGCAACAGATTCCGAAGGTTAACGGATTCTTCCGAGCTCAGTGTTCGCTGCTGAAGCGATCATTAGCACGGTGGATAAGCGATAGTAGAAACGTGATAAAATCATTCGGGCGTGGCTCGAAACTGAATGTCGCAGTCGGTTGCTCACTGCTGTGAATTCGTGATGAATGATGAATCATCCTAATGGCCGGAGTTTTCATTACGAAAGCGTGCTTTTTCCTCTTAACTCACTTCCGTTTCGAGAAAGACTGAAACGTGACCTCTCATACAAGCCAGGAAAGGAGAAGGGCAAGCCTCTCGCCCGGCAGCTCTTCTCTGTCATCGCATGTCCGTCGATCCGTGCGTCCTGCCGTCGCGTCGTTGTCTCCTGTTTTTCTCGGATGTTTCTCCAGCTCGCACTCATTCCCCGTCTGTCCTGTTCGATCGAAGGATAAAGGAAATCGCTCCTTCAATTCAATAATATCGTTTGCTCTAAATAGAACCGCTGTCCACCATCCACAAGCCACTTCTGGATAATGGACCCTTGGATTGAGGGTCCCTTGAATTCGTTTGAGTCCATTGTCGATTCCATCGTCTTCCTGGAAACCGTTTCAGAATCGTTCTGTGGACTCGCGGACGGGGGACGAAGTCGGAGCGGCGATGTTGGACGAGAATTCCGAATTCATCAGACGCTGTCACGAAGCGAATAGACTTCATTTTTCAAGTCAGCCTCTTTCCATTTCCGCGACACGAACGCGCAGAGGTGCATACATCGGACGGACAATCGTATTGTTGGTTGGTCGGTCGCTCGGCCCGAGAGAAGGGCCGAGATGAATTGGAAAGAGTGACGTTTCGCACCATCTGCAGTATATCTCTCGAAATCGAGATCCATCCGTGTGGTTTCTTCTTTGCTCCACCCATGAGCAAAGATTCGGAGATTTCGTGCTTGAATCATAGACTTGTTCATCGTTGGCTCCATCGGAAAACTACGCGAAAGGCCCCAAGACCCAACATCTCTTCCCCACTTAATCCCTGAAATTTTCAGCTGGTGGGT